TTGGGGGGATGGGAACAGTGCTGGGGAATTAGGGGAAGGGGAACAGACAAGTTGCTGTCGTTTTGTTCTTCCTTCTAGTTGTGGAGGACGTTGCTTCACTGGCCCAAGTTGGCACCATCATTGCGCTCTTCCCGGGTGAGGCAGAAGTGTCACTGGCCCTCATATGTGGGATCCGAACCGGGGCCCTCTGGCATCCCAAGCGAGTTCTTAACCATCGCGCCACTCGGCCGGCCCTGGTTGAGATTTTTTTTAATGTAAAAGTCACAGATTAATTCTCATACAAGTCATTTTGCTCTTAAGGATTTTTCAAAATTCTGATTTAAGGTTTTTAGAGAAGCCTTCCTTTGAGCAGACTTTTTAGAGTTAAAGGCTTTTTCCTCTTACTTTTTCAGTGACAGAACATCTGGGTATGTTCCAAATGTGGTTGAGTTATTGTATCTAGAGGTGATATTGGCATTTTATAATCTCCACGTTTAGGTTTATCTGAGGCAGCTAGAAAAACTTTACCGAAGCACAAATTGCTACCTTTGGGCCCTGCAGCCGAACTTCATTTGCAGCAGGAGAGCCAACAGTATATAACATACTGGTGAGGTAATTTGAGCTTTAAATAGTTTCTGGCTCTTGAAATAAGGATAGCATGATTTAGGGGAAAGGCCAGCACTCTATTGCAGTCGCCTTAGGCACTCGTTTCTTGCATGGGAGACAGTTATCAGGTTTCACTAGAGGCAGCTAGCCTTCAGCATCTGCATGTTCAGTGAGTATAAGCGAGAATCCTGTGGTATTATGCCCAGGCCTCAGGATTGTTTGAAAGCCAGTCTGGGCAATTTTTCTAGCTATGTGATACTAAATTTTGTGGAAAGGAAGTGATGTAAGACAGGTAAGGAAGTTTCAGCTTAGAATAGAGAACAGGATGAAGTGAAGAGATGCTTGACATAGGAAGTTAAGCTAGGAGATTATGTAAGAAATTTAGAGGTCTCCTAGGTGAGAATTAAAATGCAGGAAAGTTATTCAAGGTATTCTCAAAAGTAATTGCTCACATCTCTGTAGCATTTCACTGTCAGGAGCACTTTATTGTTCGTCTGATACACCCTTATAATAATAACCTTATGAACGAGGTAGAAATCTCTTTTCCAGATAAGCAAACCAGGGCCCAGACAGATGAAATGGCTTGCTCCCAAGGTCACTTAGTAAAGGGTGGGACTGGGAAAACCCCCATCTTCTGGGTTATTGGAATATACATCAGAAATCAATAGGAATGACAGTGGTCTGAGGGCTGAGAACAGTGTCTCCAGAGCATAGAATTGGATGTGAGATGATAAAGCCTCTTTATTTAAGGAGATGCAGTGTTTCCACAGGAGGATGGGGTAGGAGTCATGGAGCAGAAAAGAAAGCTCCTCTGTCCCAGTTTCCTTCTGCTCTGAAGTCCAGTATCCCAAACCCTGGTTTCACTCTGGTCTGTTGCACTTAGGTCACACCTGGTAGAGGTTCTGTTGTTTTCTAGCATTATAATGGAGAATCAGTAATGCGTAGTAAAAGGTTAACATAAGAGAAACTACTGATCAGTTTAGGAAATACTTGAGTGTATATTATTTGCTGGATATTGTGAGAATTAGTAAGCAAGGCATGATCCATTTATTCAAAGCTTGTAATAAACTAATAAGTATGATTTGGTTTACATTCTGATTTAATTATCTCTACTATTAAATTACACAATCAGTTTACTAAGCATAACCTTCCTCCACCCTACCCCCTTTATAAAGGTGGAATACATACTGAATGTAAATGGTTTATACATAGAAAATAGTCTCTTGGTATCCCAGCACCACCCTGGCCCCATAGTTTAGTCTACCTTTGGATTATACCCCTCACCCTCACACCTATAAGTAATATAAGTTATGTAGAAGCTATGGCTGCTCGAACAGGGGACAGTGAGGACTAGAGAGTAGCCAGTGTAACTGGGAGTGGAAGGACGACAGATGGGGGACATTAGTATGAACTTGGTTCTTGACAACTATGAGTTTTCCAGGCAGGAGCAGAAGAACAAATGGTAGAAGTATGAAGTTTTTTGCAATTAACATGTTACTACTGGAGCGCAGGTACACAAGAGGGTGAGGCAAGGGAACCATCTGGTGTGCTGTAAGACTTGGGAAATAGGGAATGACCTGGGATTCCTGATGTGACTTAGCCATTGTCTTAGAATACACCAGTTTAGATATGATAGTGAACTGGACAAAAATGTAACCTCAGAAAAGGAATAAAAAGTTAAGACCTCTATCCTTGTAAAATTTTCTGTTTCGTATGGTTGTCAGACAATAGTACATGGATGGCTCTAATATCATAGAAATAAGGTAATATAAATTAAATGTAGTGTTAGTGACTTGATTTAATTTATTATAAGCTGTTGTTCGGTAATCATGAAAATATAGAACATTGGTGTGATGTTGCTTTAGTTTCCTCAAGGCGATTCATCTTTGGGATGATGAAGACCCTTTAGAAATGCCCATATTGAAAGAAGCATTGATTCCTATTGGTCAGAAGTACTTTGCTCACCTCTCCATCCTTTTGTATTGCTAATTCTAATTCCGGTAAAACATGTGTTCCCCAAGTTGCTAAAATATCTGTGTTCAGACTCAGTCTCATGACCCCAGTTTTGACTTCCTGGGGTTTATGATTCATATGATCTGAACACAGGAGCTGAAAAAGCCTCCTTGTTTCTCAAAAGTCAACTTGAAGTTGACTCAGTATATTCTCACCCAAAAGGGATGGGACTCAAGTAGACAGGGCAAGATGAGAAAGCTGTCGTTCTGTTCTTATAAAACAAACAAACAACTGTTGAGATATATAAGCCACCTATATTTAAAACCCCTAGGATTGGTGTGTATGTAATATTACATGAGAGAACTGTTGACCTTTGCAATTTAGATCAAAATTAATTTGTCATCTAATAGCTGGACTTGATAGTTCCTTCATGGAACAGCTATGTGCTAAGCCTGTGTCTTTCTAGGCGAGAAGCAGGGGTTCAGGCACCATTGATCCAGCTGCGATTTTTTTCCCCTTCTCTCTTTTTTTTTTTNCCTTGGTTTACTTTTAGTTCCTCTTTCCATGCCTGGGAGCCAATGTGTTCCCTGCCTTATGTTTCAAGGGGGGCTCTCAGGGTATTTATTTCCCCTTGTGATAACTCAAGCAGTAAGTCTTTTATCCTGGCAGGAGAACGGGATGGAAAGGAGATTCAAAAAGTTGAATGTTGATATCTTAAACTTTGGCACTCTATTTTTGAAGCCCTGACAATATTTTATGTTAATTGTCCTTTAGAATTTTGAGAAACAGCCGGCTTCTTCTGTCGCCTGGAGCAGTATGAAATAGGACAGGTAGGACAGAACACAGCATTCCAAGCAAATACATTGTAAATGTTTGTGCACCAGATTTGATCTTGAGATGGACAGAGAGTTCCTCTCATACAGCGGGAATGAACTCTTCAGATACTCTCCCACACAGATCCTTGAAATCCGGTTGACACCCAGACCAGTAACTCACTCCTTCATCTCTGAAGCCATTTTTTTTTCAATTCTCTTGACTTCAGGGCCCAAATGAGTTGTTTATTATTTATAGCAAGTACTATAAAAGGTCAGTGGAACTGACCACTGACAACCTGTGGTCAGTTCCAAGGATGGCAACTTGTATTCTCAGAAGTGAATCCCCTCCAGAGGCATGAAGATTAAACCGTCTACTTAAACCTCTTGGTGTAACGCCTAGCCACTCGGAAGTGGTCAATACATGTTGACTGTTTTCACTTTTATTATTGCCGATGGAGCCCATTGCACACACCCCCCCCCACACACACACACCTCTTGTATTGTGAAAGAGGCCCAGGATTCAAAGTTGTGTAGAGCACAAGCCAATCCTCAAGGCATTCACTTGTAAACAGGAAGAAAGTCAACACAGGTTTATAATAAAATGCGGGAAGAGCTCTAAGAGTTTGCACCCGCTGCCAAGGGGGCACAACGAGGAAGCTCTCAGCCCGCTCTGGAGAAAGAGAGCAGGCGTCTCAGAGAAGCTGCTGGAGCCCAATCTTGAAAGTAGAAGCAGGTGTCTAAGAACTCCTCAAGGCTGAATCTTATAAGCGTTTTTAAACTGTCAACCTAGAATTTCTTAGGTATGAAAGCTATCTTGCAGCCTCCAAGATTCATGCATTAACTTTCCACCCGGAAGTGCAATCATGAATTACTGCTGGGCACCCCCTTCTCCCACAAAGCCAAACAAAACTCCCTTTGAGCAAGGGCAGTGCTGGGGCTTGGGAAGCACTAAGATGGCCCACCGTCGGCATCTGTGGCGCACCCCGTTCCCAGACAGAAAACCGGAGTTAAAATCAGAGGCCCTGACAGGAAGAGGGCTGGCCAAGGCTCAGACTTTTCAGTCGCATTTGACACACAGCTCCTTTTAAACCCGGCGCCGAACTTCGTAGGCGCAATTTCAAAAACGACTGTACCAGACAGGATAAGGTCTGGGGACCCGGGACCAACCCCGGGGCCGTCGGGAAGCCTGGCTCCAGGGCCCCAGGAGGGCCCCAGGTGCCCGCCTCTCCGACAACGTCACTCCCAGCCCCCGGCAGCACGCAGTGCATGGGTTGCAGTGGTGTTTCTTCGCCACCCCCAGACTTCAGCGCTGGAGTCCGTACCCTCTGAACACAGAACGCCGGGGGACCGTGCTCTCAGCTCCAATCCGCTTGGAGAGGAGCTGGGGGTCACGGTTGGAAGCGCGCAGCCGCACAGTGCAGAGGCGCCGCGCCCCTCGCTGACTCTCCCCGCAACACTCACACCTCCGCTCCCCCGCCGGCGCGCGTCGGGGTGCGCAGGGCCAGGACGAGGAGGGGCGGGGCGCGCTCTGGAGACCCACCCCTACTCCCCGCCCCCTCCGGCGTAGATTGACAGAGCCTGGGCCCCGCCCCAACCAATGAGCGCGTCCCGGGGCGGGCCCTGGAACCTAAGGCTCCGGCTACTTAAGAGTCGTCGCCTCCCCCGGTTGGAAGCCAGAGCGGAGTCCGGACTGTCCGGGTGGACCAGGTGCCCCAGCCGGCGCCGACAGCAGGCGCGCGGGTACTGCGCCGGGCACTGCACCGCACCGTTCCGCGCGGGACAGAGTGGAGCCGCAGCCCCACGCGCCGCCCCGGACCCTGTCGCCACCACCGCCTCCGCAGCACCCATGGGGACCCGGAGACTTTAAAGGAGTTTGGGGTTTCGGGAGCAGGGAAATCACGGGTACGGAAAGGCGACTGTCTTTGCCTCGGAAACGATTTTTCTTCGATTGTTTGGACCCTGTGCCGGGTAGGAGGGAGAGGGGTGTTGGGGCTGAAAGTGGACCTTCCTACACAATCCACACGCACACCCGCGCCCGCACACAGACACCGCACTGGCGTCCCCCTTCCTTCCCTTGCCTCTTTGTTAGGTTATTTTAGAGCAGCCTCGCCCTGGCGCAGCCGGATTGGCTCTGCTGGGGAGACAGCGAGAGAAGTAAGGGGCAGAGAGCACCTGCCCGTGTGACCAGGTGTGCCCGGCCGCTTGGGTGGAGGTGCATCGGCGTGTGTGCAAGTGTGGGGCTGGGATTGTGTACGAATGTGGGGGTCTGAGTGTGTCATGGAGAAGGTCTGTCATTGTGTGTGTGTGTGTGTGTGTGTGACATTGTCACACCAGCGTACCGGCCTGTGTCTGGACTCCAAGTGTGCAAAATGTTGCCGGTGTCAAGTGAATGCCTGCGAACGTGTCCGATTGTCATTGTGCGAGGCAGCATCAGGGGAGGAGCGCGACCTAGTGCAAAGCTGAGAGGTGGGATGGAGAGGGTGGGGACAGGAGTGTGAGTGCAGCCTGCTCCAAGCTCGGGGGCCGTAGGCGCCCCTTCTCCCTTCTAACCAACCCCACGGTCCTTTTCTGGGAGTCTGCCTCCCACGCTGCCACAACCCGCGCCGTCCTCCTCACTGGGACCCCGCACGCTCTCCAGCCCGCCTGCCTTTTCTCCTGTGGGAGTTGGACCGGGTTCCCGGAAGGGGTCCCGGGCTGCGTGGCGGTGTCCCTTCTCACTTGCGGGACCGGTGCCTTCTGTGCCTGTCCTACCCGCGGGGAGGCACCGGAGACTCCGCTGGCTGGGAGACTCCAGCACCGTAGCGTGGGCGCACAGGCAGGTCCCAGGGGCCCTACACGACCCGGGCAGGGGCCGCCCGACCCTGATGGTGTCTCTGCCCCTCCGATTCTGCAGATCCCCGCTCCTGGCCCTCGCCTCGCCGCGTCATTGATGGGCAATCAACTGGACCGCATCACCCACCTCAACTACAGCGAGCTGCCCACAGGGGACCCGTCGGGGATCGAGAAGGACGAGCTGCGGGTCGGGGTCGCCTACTTCTTCTCAGATGAGGAGGAGGACCTGGACGAGCGCGGCCAGCCGGACAAGTTCGGCGTGAAGGCCCCCCCTGGCTGCACTCCCTGCCCGGAGAGCCCCAGCCGCCGCCACCACCACCACCACCACCACCACCACCTGCTGCACCAGTTGGTCCTTAACGAAACTCAGTTCTCAGCCTTTCGGGGCCAGGAATGCATCTTTTCCAAAGTCAGCGGCGGCCCTCAGGGCGCCGACCTGAGTGTCTACGCGGTCACCGCGCTGCCAGCGCTCTGCGAGCCGGGCGACCTGCTGGAGCTGCTGTGGCTGCAGCCTGCGCCGGAGCCGCCCGCGCCTGCCCCGCACTGGGCCGTCTACGTGGGCGGCGGGCAGATCATCCACCTGCACCAAGGCGAGATCCGCCAGGACAGCCTGTACGAGGCGGGCGCGGCCAACGTGGGCCGGGTGGTGAATAGCTGGTACCGCTACCGCCCGCTGGTGGCCGAGCTGGTGGTGCAGAACGCCTGCGGCCACCTGGGCCTCAAAAGCGAGGAGATCTGCTGGACGAACTCGGAGAGCTTCGCTGCCTGGTGCCGGTTTGGCAAGCGGGAGTTCAAGGCCGGCGGGGAGGTGCCTGCCGGCACGCAGCCCCCACAGCAGCAGTACTATCTTAAGGTGCACCTGAGCGAGAACAAGGTGCACACCGCCAGGTTTCACAGCCTGGAAGACCTCATCCGCGAGAAGCGCCGCATCGATGCCAGTGGGCGCCTGCGAATGCTCCAGGAGCTCGCAGACCTGGTGGACGACAAGGAGTAGCCTCCAGGGGCCGCCTGCCCCTCCTGTCTCCCCGCGCCCCGCTTCCTTCCCCACACCAGGGCTTTCCGGCGGGCAATTCAACACCCCACCCCGCCTCGCGTGTCCGCCGGGGGGCCAGTATCCAGGCTGCACCCTCGCACCCCTCCAGCAAGTGGCAGGAAGTCTCAGGAACTGGTCCCGGGACTAAAACGACAGCTGTGCGCCCCTAGCTGAAACGCCCAGGGGTGGTGATGGAGTTGGGAGACTGCTTGCGCTTTCCCCTTGAGTTATAAGGGGGGGGGGAAGAGAATGGGCTGAGGGGAGCAAGGACATGACCGCGCCGCCAGGGTCACTGCTCCGCGACTATCACCCCCACCTACTACAAAGGGACCATCACCACCCCAAGTGCGCGCACAAAGACCAGTGGGAGGTGAGAATGGATCTCTTCAGGGCGCAGTTCAGCTCCTGTGTGGATGTGTCCCCAGATTGCAGGATTTCCAAGAAATCGAGCCTGTCACTTATGCATTCCACAAGAGAGCACCTCGGGACGCCGGGTCAGCCTGGACTGATCGCACTGTTCCAGCTCTCCAGCCCCAGGTCTCCTGACATTGTATTCCAGGCTCTGGGCTAAGCTAGACAGTGTTTGCTCCCGGTTCTTTCCACCGAGGGAAGGGAACACCACCACCCCCACCGGCATTAGCCGGTGAGTCTCCCTTGCTGGCAGAAGGGAAGCCTCCCCACCAGGGAGGAACGTGGCGCAGCTAATTGGGTGAGGAGCTCCGGCCCAGCCCCCAGCAAGGAGAAGGTTCTCCTGGTGTCTGGAAACTTGAATTTGTGGAGAAGGGCGCTTATTGTTCTTAACCCTAGATTGCTCCCTCCTTGGGCTGCATTTCAAAAATAATCATATTTTTAAAGGGTTTGGAGGAGAGGGAGGGGAAAGACATGGCAACATTCCAGTAACCAGCATTATTACAGCACCATAGCCAGTATATTTAGTTTGGCTTTTCCTAACATAGAAATCTTAGAAGATGGGGAAGTGGAAATAAAGTTTTAAAAGTAATGGAGCAGTTTCCAACTATGTCAACAAAGCATATCTGTTGATGTTTTTATTGACCATTTTAGCAACATGCTAATAAAATTTCAAATTGAAATTTTTATTTTCATGGCTTTAATCCATGATAGTTTAAATATTGGGGGCCATTAAGAGTGGATTTAGCTAAGAGCTTAGCTAACATTGCCTTTTCACTCTATTTTTCTGAAATCGTGTTTGTGACTATTGTAGTTAATTTTTTGGCTTGAAACGACAGCCCTAGTAGTGGTGGAGTTGTTAATTGATGTGTATATCGTACTGAATTTCTGTCAGTTAAGGGGTTTACTGCTTTGGTGGAAATTGCTAGCAGGTCCCAAGGTGTTTCTTTTCTCCATGCTGTAAACCATTACCATTGCACATTTGCATTTCTATTTTTCTTCCTCTCCCCTTGATCTCCTTAAAAAAAAAAAAGATTCTAGAGGTGGTGGCTTTTCCCCTCCTCTTTAGCTGGTCCCACAATTCATTCCTGAACACCAGAGAGGATCGTAGGATCAGGACAGACATGTATTTTTCAGAAAATTAAGGCTGTTTGAAACCCCTTCCTTGAGCAAGGATTTACCAACTTCTCTCCCGGCGCCGCAGCCCAAGCCTGACTGTTATTATACTTAACTCAGTGTGCAGTAGACACATTGCAGTATCTATGTCCCTTTCAAGGGAACTTGTCAAGTAATGGTGTTTAGCTAATTGTTGCAAGCAATTGCCTATTGACAGCTGTGATTTAGTTGGACAGCCAATATTACGGCCAAAGCCAGTTTCTTGGCATTTCAAAAATAATGCAATAAAAACTAGTCGAGGTTAGCTGAGACTGGAAATGCCTTTTCATGGTAAATGATTCATTTCTGTTCTGTGTTTTGGTTTCCATCCGGATTCATTTCCTGATCGTGAATCAAAAGGTCAGCTCAATGGAATAGGAACTAGAATATTTTTCTTAAGCCGATTGAGTGATTTATTTTTTAAAAAAATGTTTAAATGCATATGCTTTCCTTTCAGCACCTACGATGGCATAACTTTTGTAATAGCTAACTTACCTTTGCATGTATGGAGGACTGAAAGTCATTTATTCCCCTAACTTATTCCTCTTTCCAATGACAGATGGCAGATCATAAAGTGAAATTCTTTACTGTATCCACACACTGCACAGCCTTCTGTGTCCTACCACTGTACCTTGGTTCTCTGCTGTATTAAACACCAACCTAAGCACTTGATCCAACAGGACTCCTTCTTGACAGTTTGTCTTCCACCTGTCACTCAGAGGATGGGACTTCAGCTAAAGGAATGAATCTGTCTCTATCACACCTGATACTAAGATTTATTTCCTCTGATGGCACATAAGCTGATTTTTCTCTTCCTGAGAGGGTCACTATAACAGAGGAATGGCTTCTCAGCTTTATACTTGCTGAAACAAGACTGGCAATAAAAATGAGTTTGGTAGCCAACGTAGCATTCATTACTATATTGGTGTGTTAAGGATTGGGTGGATGATAACACTTCTACAGGTTCACAACAGTACAACACTGGTTACAAAGGGAACTTGAAAGGCTTATAAGGTTTCTCATATTGCTGTTGAAATCATCACTGATTATCTGCTATTCAATGTTAAGAATCATAGGTTCAGGAATGATTCTAATCCTAGTGCATCATGGAGAGGATATTATCAAAATATTACCTAATAGCTTTATTCTGAAAAACATGTATATTTTTAGGGTGTTATTAATGATGTGACACCATGAAGGTGGAAGTCCCTTTTGAAGATGGCAGGGGATGGGCACACTTGATTTTTTATTCTGAGTGAGTATAACACCTCTGGGTTTTATCAGAGTCATAGAAATTAAGCCAAAGCCTCCTAACATTTAATAGAAGTCAGGGATTTTGTTTTGGTTTGAGTTATCCTCAAGAGAACACAGCTTCACAGTAACTTCTGTGATACACTGAGTTTTGCTGAGCTGCTGCTTGGTCTGTCAGCTCTCCAGTATAGAGGAGAACTAGCCTTACACATCCATTCTTTTCCACTTTCACATGGCAATTCTGCAAAGCAAACTATTAAAAAAATAGGATGAATATTTTTATTCCAAGGAATGCTTTGCTACACATTTTGTTATTAAAAAAAATAAATAAATGCTGGGGAGAAGAAGGGAGACTGGGCATACTTTAAACAATCCAGCTGAAAATACTGTGATTCTCAAAGTGTACTCCTTTGTTTAAAAGAAAAAAGAGCCTATAAATCCTATAGAAGTTACATGTAGTGAATTTTTTTAAATAAAATTAAGTCTATCAATAAGCCAAATATATATATATATATATATAGAGAGAGAGAGAGAGAGAGAGAGAGAGGAACTATATATATATTTGGCTTATTGATAGAAATATATATAAATTTTTATATATCAAAAATATATATCAATATTTAAAAATTTAAATGCCCATCATGACTGTATTTTATTAAAAGAAAGTAATATATATTCACTTACAAAACATTTGTGCCGGATTAGAACATCAGATGCAGAAGCAACTGCAAGTGCAATGATGTTATGTAATTTTACTAGATTTTTAACATTTTGATGTTTACCTTCCTCTGTGTCATGTTTCTATGATGAACACTTTCATTTCAATAATGATTTTTTTTCAGAAAACCATGTTATTGGTGTTTACAAAATAACAAATTACCTAAATAATTAGTCTATGCTAAGAGTCTTCAAACATTACCTTGTTAATTATGTTTTGTGTGTACTTTCAGAATCCCTAAGAGTGCAATGTGTTAGTCATCTTATAAATGGAACAGGGTCAAATTTCAGTGAAACTCATACTAATTGCACAAACATAACAGAGCAACCGACATTCCTCTTAGCTACCTGCATATCTTCAAAGCTTTCTGCTTTTTCTTTTTTAAACAAATGGGGAAAATCTAGATCGGTTTGCCTTTCAGAGATGATTTGCCACATGCATGATGGGTCTGCAGGTGAAAAAAGTATAGGTTTTCAGGTTTCTTGAAACATTGAGAGTATGTTTAGAAAATGGCTTTCTAAGACCCAGCTCAATTTTTGTTGACAATTATTAGCTTTTGACACACACATATATATAAATATACACACATATATACACATATACATGTACATTTAAATATGTATGTATGTATATAATTTCTACTTATAGCTAGTAATTGCAATTTCATTCCGAGAGATATATATATCGATACAGATATGCACGCAGATACATACGGACTATTTTAAAACACAATAGAGAATGACTTGACATCTACAAAAACAGTAGGAAAGGTTTTAGGGGTCAAAACAGCTCATGAATAACGAGGACAGCAAGACAGCTATGCCTAAAACTAAGCATAAACAGAAAGAAGAAAACGTGGAACTCGCTGTTAGTTTTTGTCTTGCTTTTAGACAAATGCATTCCTTGTTTCTGTAACTAAAAAGACCTAAGATTCAAAGGAAAGCTGTAAAGATTAGGAAATACTTGAAAAATAAGAAGCAAGATGAAGTGGGGAGGTTATGATAAACTGATAAGCTAATAAGCTTTTCACCAGGCAGTACCAGCTTTCCATCCTAATTGACGGCAGTAAAGCTCTTAATTTTCCAATCATTTAATAAATTATAAAATCTTGATATCATAGCTCACATGTTGCATGTTTACCTCATTTGAACTTGCACTGTAAGAGATTTAAGTATGTGACTATGTTGGGGGAAAGGAAAATAGTCTTGTCTGCTCTTGTCGCTAAGGGTGAGTTTTGTGACGCTGCCTTCCTTGGTGACATGCAGATAAAGGGCTCTCCATGCTGTGGGCTTTAATCATTCTCTCTGGTTCGTGGCACAAGGCACATAGTAGGTGCTCAGTAAGTAGAAGCCTGGACTCTCTCCATTACCAGTGGTTCTCAGTGATACTTGAGCCCCTGGAAAAACACAGATCCCACCACTGGGCTTGTTTAAAACGGGGGACCTAAATTTCTCCAGCTGAAAATGTTGGGGTTTGCCAGTCTCAGGAGGTTCATGGAAATATCATTTGTGAGGCTTAAGGCTAAGTCCACTTAAAGGATATTCTGAATATTCTATTTGCTTCTAGGGAAAAAAACTCTATCAAAGAATCCAAAGAGAAAATATTTTCTTGTCATTTGGTTGAAAAGGGGAAAGCAAACTCACAACTCTGAGTGTAACTTCTCACAAGTCCATCTCTCATTTACCTCAAGGAGAGAGGTTTCTTGTCTGAAATCACAAGATTATTCCTTCAGAGGAAAGCCTATTATTGAAGCTCTTGCTAAAAGTTTTCTTCAGTTATATAAGCAAAAAACCTACGAGAACACGAGCTTAATTCTCTGGGAAAATTAGATTTGATGAAGTTTGGTCATGGGTGTTTTTCTAAATAAAAATTATTCATTTCTATATTAAAATATCCAAACAATTGCTATGCCCATTGGCTTTTATAATCCAATTATTTATTTTTTTAATGTGAACATGAGTTCTAAATTTAATTTCATCCAACGGGGAGAGAGGCCTGTAAAATATGAGGTGTGAATAGGGCCCCCATGTCCTCAATTTCAGGCACAAAATAAATGCTTCATAAGTTAATGTGAGCCACCTCCAGTGCTCCCCAAACAGACAAAGGTCACAGAAGGCTACTGCTCGCATTCTTCCACACGACATAGACATTGATGTTCTACTCACTCCACAATGGGAAACACGAGGGCTTCTTTAATATTCTGATATTTGCTTTAACAGATACGTTATTCTAAATTCAATCATTTTCCCCTCCAGCAGCCCCGAAACATGCCAGCTCACTCTTCAGTGCCAAGCGCATGGTTTTCAGATTCTCCTGGGAAATGAGCAGATGCGGGGGGGGGGATCATACTGACGATGATTTTGAAAAACATCTTCCAACACCCAAGAGCACGAGCTGCATTTCCTCCTGGTCCTTCTGCCTTCTGCTTCTCAGGGGTCTGACCCCCCGGGGTCTGAGCCAGACAGAGGCAAGGCCCAAGGGTAGGGTTGCCTGATTTCCCAAATAAAAATACAGGCCACTCAATTACATTTGAATTGCAGATGAACAAGGAATTAGGTTTTCATGTAAGTATATCCTGTGCAATACTTGGGACATACTTATACTAAAAGTGATCTGTTTCTCTGAAATTCAAATGGAACCATGTGTCCAGTATATTACCTGCAGCCCTACGCAGAGAGGACCTTCCCGCCTTTAAGAAGCCAGAGACCTCTGAGGTTTTAGAGCTGGCAAACTAAGGACACATCCCCTAGCCGCAGCATGCAAGTCCCACCAGATTGCTCATGTGTCTTTCAAGGCCAAGGCCAGGTTCAGGCCTAGGAACAAACATAGAGTCCAGGAGAAGCTACAGAAGGGGGAGTTCACAGGACACTGGCCACTGAGACAGTTGCTTGTGTGGGTAAGGGTGGGGGTGGGCTGAGTATTTCATGTCTCTATTCTTACACTCTTTTGAGTATATTTTACAGGACATGACATCCTTTATACGGGGGGGCGTGATAAATACATTCCCAGATACAATCTCTGCCACTGTTTTTAATCCCACTAGTTACTAATCCCATTTTGGCACCTGGCCATTCCAGCTTCCAAACCTCTCTCTATCGCCATGGCACCTCTATCTAAACGCAGGCAGCCATACTGACCTTTCTAAACCCAGGACTGCCGCTCACACGATGAAGGCCAAGCTCCTTATGGGGCAGCCAGACTCCTCCATGGCCTGGACTCTGTCTACGACCCGATGCATTTCTCTGGACTCTCACTCAGCTTATACTCAGGCCCCATGGAGCATTTTGTACAACATGTAGCTTCCTTGACTTTCTCCATTGTCCCCTTTATCCGATTGCCATTCTTGATTCCTAAGTGGAAAACTCTTCTTTATTCATCCTTCATGGCCTAGCGCCATGCTATGCCAGGCATGGTTCCGGAAATTTTCTTCTGTGCATTCCCATTAAAGTTGTTTATACCTCTCCCAGATTCCGTCTCCTATGCTAGAAATATGCATTGCATCTGTGTCTCCCTGGACTGAGTTCTGTTAGGGAAAGCCCTGTGACTTACACACATATGCAGCTGCAAAGTCTAGAACATGCAATAGTGGCTGGATTAGAGTCTGTCGAATGAATGGAAGAAGATGCGGCCGGAGATGCGTTGGCTCCTGTCAGTGTGTGAGACTTGCTGCACACAATCTCTCCCTGTGCCAAACCACAGTAGGAATGGGCTAAAAGCGTCTATCAGCTTACATGCGATTCTCCCTAAGACCCATTGAGTAGAAAATTAGCTTCTATTTAGAAAATGAGCTGGAATTATGAGGAATCTATACGGCATTATATTACACTAGAAATGATGGGAGATTAGCTATATGTAGTATAAAAGCTTTCTCTGTCCTGGTTCTACTGGTTAGAAGCATTTCTTCATGAATGAACTTCGTGAGTTTTGTT